GAGAAACTGAGTACCCTCAGCTGAGAGATGAACACTCAGGGATACAAGAGAGGAAGGACGGGGCATGAATAGGTTTCTTGCCAAAAAACATCTCGGAAGTTCAGCGCGCGTGTCTACGTCTCGCGTGAGGCCGCACGTGGCTCCAGCGCGTGTGCTGCATGTGTAAAGTGAGACGACAAAAAGGTGAGCGAATTAGCAGTTCTTACATGCGGGTTGGCAGGGGGGAAGCTTTGGAGGAGCCTTGAACATCGGCAGCTCCCGATGAAGAGCTTGGAAGTGCTTGAAACAGTGTTTGATTTTCCACCTGAAGTCCCCGCGGCTCAGCTCAATCGCGCGGAGAGATTTGGATTCGCTGCCCTCCGAGGTGAACATTTCAAAAGGAGACGGTTCAGCTCCGCCGCATCAATAGTTCGCCTACAAGAACTTTAGAGGAGATGAAACACGTGTAACGACACAATACTGTCTTTAAGGATAAGTTTGGGGGGGATTGTGATATTAGAAAAACTTTTGATCAGAAAAGGTGAGGCTTTCAGATTTAACCAAAATAACGAGTGAAGAGCGTCTGTTTAAAGGAGGTTCAGACGGGCCGCGTGACAAGCGACGACTCAGTACCTGGTTTACAGTCAATTATATCTCACTCACCTTTGTTGTAGATGTCGGTTCCGCCTCTGTCACCCAGACAAAAATAGGAATGTTTTCCGAGAACGCTTTGGAGTCCAGTGACTTTAATGGGGGGGGAGTTGTAGACAGTGAGAAAAGGAATGGTTCTTGCTTCTAGAAAAAGAAAGAAGAGACAACTAAGGTTTTAGCAAGCGGAGTGTGCAACAGTTGTACTTTCCTAACCGGGCTTTAACAGACTCATGCACATTGTAAATATGCACCACCATCACCAACTTTCAAAGAAAAGGAGAAGGCCTTTGAGAAAAGCACTGCTTTTGGCTATATCGTTGTTCTCTGTATCTAAGGTCTGCCTGTGTTCTGACTGCGTTTGATCGACCTTGATGTTTTGCCGTCACAGCTGTTTTTTTCCATCGCAGCAGCAGAGCAGCGTGTCCGGGCACTGGCCAGATCCCACAAGTCCAGATCGCCGTTTCACTGCTGCGGGGGCCCGAGTACTGTCTGTGACTCTTACCGTGGCCACGTTCATACACACTACACCTGGGGAACGGCATAGAGCGGATTGTGAACAGCCTCCATTTAAAGGCAATAGTTAACATGGGCAGACCTTCTCTTACGTTCACTAGGTCTACCCAATGGAAGTTCTATGTTTTTTGCAGGCCCAAGAATCTCTGCAGCTGTAATAAATTCAAATATGATTAAATTAACTTGCTTACTTTGAATATGAATGTGGTTATATCTAAAATGACTATGTAATGTAAAATAAAAAAATTATGTTGCATGATTTTAAATGATTGCCCTTACCTCATAAACCATACGAATAATATTGTTATCAGACTTCTGAATGTTACTCCTGACCAGATGTTTAGTGGGATGGACAACAATTTTGCAAACGTCCTGTGTTTTTAACGTTGAACATCTCCAAAGTAACAGTGGATATTGTAAGTATGTCAATATTACAGTTCCGGAAAGCCAAGTTTGCATGTAAACAAATGCATAACTTAAAGTTTCTCACTCTTTCAGTTAGACTCTAAGGCAGAAGTCAAATTTCCAAACAATGCATCTCCATTGGCTGAAAACCCATAAATATTTCATGTTCCAGGTCTGAAGGGGATAAACACGCATTAGCCCAAGAGATTGTCTTTGTCCCGGGTGCAAAAGTTGTTCTAGTACATCTATTTTTGCCAGATCTGTAATCTTTAAAACATGTAAAATCTCTCACCACAAAGCATGTTTAACAAATATAAACTTTGCTCTTCATTAGTAGATATTTTCTTTAATAAACAAGGCTTTGGAGAATATCACCGCGTGTCTCCCGCTGAGATCAGAGAAGAGCAAACTGTTCCGACTGCGATTAACAGCTAATGATGAAAAACACATGCAGCCTGCATCGTTCATCTCGGGACGTTGCGTGATGCCCAGCCATTTCTTCACTTTCACGCCATTTGACCCTGACCTTTCCTTTCTGCTGTGATTCTATGTCAGACTGCACACAATCAATGTCTGTCACCTTCTGCGCGATCACAGAAACAGTGGATCCTCCCTGACGGGGTCGAAGATGGCAGCCTTGTCTCCCTACATTTGGGCCACTGGATCCTCCAATGGTGTATACTGGGACTTCCTCCCTCATTATCTCCACCGCCCCGCCCTGGCCAGCCCAGTGGAAGTGATGCTAATAGCGTGAATACCGACCGACTGACATGGGTGAAGAACCAGGAGATGAAATCCATACTTCATGCATTTTGCATGGGGTGGTAATTAGGCAATTTCGGAGGGTACTAAATGATTCTGCCGAAGTATCCATGTTCCCGGTTAGATGGGAACAATTCTGCTGAAAAGCTTGTAATATCAAGGCCATGTGCAGAAACTGAGTAAATTATGTGAGCTCTCTGAACCCGTTTGAACCCATTTTTAGAAGAGAACCAGCAGGCACCAATCTGGAAACCCTCGAAAGCTTCACCAAACTAGTAGCACCCATAACAATTGCATTTGACTGTGCAGATACCGAAGGTTGATGTTTTTAAAGCACAGCCTTAATTATGTGTGCTTTCTTGCCGAATAAGTGTCTGTTTCTCTAACCAACCCTGAGACCCATTCTCCCCCCAGACACCCTCTTTTCGCCCTGGGCCCCCGGCTCCGGCCATTAGGGAGATTCCTTTTCTTCCCTAAGCAATGACAGGTGAAGTGGAGCACAAAATCCCAAAGCCTGCCATGGGCCTCGCCGCAACCTCAGCACCTCTAATTCTTCCAGACAATCATCTTTCTATTAACACTTATTTCTACTGAAATATCTTGTGACAGACAACAGATTACCAGATTGAAGATACACGACTACGCTGTTATTCCAATGTACTGGCAAATGCAGGGGCGTGACCCTACCAGACAGGCCATGCCGGTGTCAAAATAAAAGATGGTGAATGCACACCAAGGTTCTGAATACCCTGACAGTAAAGGGGAACGCTTGCTCAACAGTTTCTTTATTTAAGGGATTATTATAAAACTGAGATTGAGTTTAAAAGTTATCCGTCTGCTCTGCCCAGCTTTTAAAATACATCACGACACTTCAAAAAGTGAAACCCTGATGACGAAATTAATTAGTTAACTAGACAGCTGCTGTCTGTTTAACATTGGTGTCCAACATGCTTTTATTGAGACAAATTTCAGCCTATTCCTATATATTAATCCATATGTTTTGATAATTTTGATGTTAATCTTAACGTCATATTCTAATAGAATAGAATAGAATGTAAAAATTAAAACCTAAAGTAACTTCAGATGCTTGCATAACATGCATCATGTGGTGCTAAAATACCATCTAGCTTTACATGAAACCAAATGACATGCTCCTCCAACTAGTTAACAAACCACTGTGTCATTTACATGACCAAGTAACCCAATAATTATCAGCACTAGAAACCAAAAGCACAACTCAGGTCCAAACAACACTACATGTCATGTTCACATCTGTCAATGTGATGTAATGTCGGAACAAGCATAAACAAAACAAAATCCGGCTGTTAAGGTAACTCCTCTACATCAATTTGAAATATAGTTCCTCATATTAAAGGTGGTTTGCTCTGAGATGGTATGACAGAGAACAAATTAAATGAGAAGAGCACAATATATATCAACTTTGTTTCATGTACAACCAGAATGCAGCACTCACGCAACGATTGTGTGTGTGGGTGTATGTGTGTGTGTGTGTGTGTGTGTGTGTGTGCGTGTGTCAGTGTATGTGCGTGTGTATTCACATATAGTGAGCCAGCTTTATTGACAGTATTTTGCACTGATCTCTGATCTGATTCATCAGCAGTTCTGCAAAAGTAAAACAAGGATAGACAATCAATGACAGGATAAGAACATTATGTCAGAGGCAAAGTCAGCTATAAGTAGCCTAGATAAATAGAGAGAGATGGAGAGTGAAAAGGATGGATTTTTAAGCAAAGTGTTGCGAAAACTATTATTGAAGCTTTACCAATAGACAGGGGGCCGGACCAAAAGACTGAACTCAATCCTGCTCAATATTATTCCATCTCTTTAAAAAAAGCAGTAAACTGTAAGGTTCTGATAAGCTGCGAGTGGTTAGAGTAAACATTATGATCCGTGGTGGAATATAACTAACTTTTTTCATTAACTGTATTGTATGACTGAATTGTATGTGTTTCTCTGTTTAACCTGTAAAAGTTGGCACAAGAAGAAGAAGAGGAGGGGAAAAAACAGAAGAAGATCTTTTCATCCTGATTTCATCTATTGGCTGAAAATAACCACGTGACCGCTACGCTATACCGGAAATGGTGTAGCCAGAGCGTGTATATTTGTTTACAGCTGCAAGCTTTTCGTCTGCACCTCGCCGGATAACGTTATGTGACTGAAAATCTTCACAATGTTTGACAAAATATTTCAAATTAAGATAGCGCGTGTTGCCGATTCATGCACTGCCGCGCGCCTGTCATGTTCATACCGTTCAAATCCGAACAGCACCCGCTAACAAGACATGCTAAAGTCACGCTTTATTAGCCTGTTAACGTCCAAGGTAACGTCCCCCTCCGTGTGTCAGTGGCAACGTGATAACATAACCTCTTTGTTACAAAGTGCAAAGCCATTCTTCCACGTCTGCGTGCGGGTCCGACTGTTGGCTCCTTCCGCGAGGTAACGTTTACGTTTGCTCGTTAGCCAGCTGGCAAAGAAGCTAACATGGGAGTTGCACAAGGCACGGTGACCTCTCACAAGATGAGGTATGAATCCACCCAGTGTATAAAGACTGTTCTTCTCAGGTTTTATTTTGTATTTGTGTATGCTTGTACTGCTTGTAGCAGCGGACACAACATGACGCTATCTGCCTGCACCCATTCTCTTCCCCTCAGGCACTAGATGATGACAGAATGACCAAAGACCCAGTGCATCATGGCATTATCTGAAGTGTATTGGGATCACCAGATACCAATTCCAAAGCTTGCTTCAGTCCAGGCCAAGGTCACTGTGGCCCTGGTGGCACTCCTGTGCTTCATGAACAGTTATGACGGGGAGTTTGTGTTTGATGATTCTGAAGCAATTGTCAACAACAAGGTATGTTTCCCTTTCTAAAAAGCCATTTTATGACATTGCTTCAGCATCAACAGAGTGACGGCGTCCTCCACGTTAGTGGCGTCGTTATCAGTCTAATTTTGTGTTTCTGTTCCAGGACTTGAAACCAGCAACGCCTCTGAACAACATCTGGAGCAATGACTTCTGGGGAAGCAACCTGAGTAGCAACTCTAGTCACAAATCCTACCGACCTCTCACTGTCCTTACATTTAGGTAATATATCTACTGTGTGTGCTCCAACACAGATGTTAAGACAATAGTTACAAACAATTATACTGATCGTCTGGCAGGTGTTCACGTTGTTTAACAGTTTAACAACATACTTCCTGTCAACAGTTAAACCTTGAGGGTGTGTTATGTTAAATGGACATTACGGTTAATTTAACACTGGTGTGTTTCCCATAGATGTGGCTATTGTGGCTCTATGGGTCGTGCTAACTTTACACTCTCCACCTCGGTTGTAGCGACTCAGGAAAACAAGGAATCGTGCATAACGTGTATCATGAGCCTCCTAGAGCTTTCCATAAAAACATAATTTTCACATGAGTCAGTTGAAGTTCTTGTTATGATAAAGAGACTTTGCTGCAGGGACAGAACACAAGACCTGCACAGAGGCGTCAAAGAAAATGTGGCTTTGTCGAACGCTGAGCTGCTCTGAGTCTAGTGCTGCTTGGTGCCGTGGCAGGGTGCCTCCTGTTACTCTTACTGCTGGAGCTCAATGCAGTCTTAACAACGTGTAGGCTTTAATCACGCACACTGAAGCTTTGTTTAAATTTTCGCGTGGCACCGTAGAGCGAGCCTCCGCAGATAACGCGCAAGCTTCAAGCTTGTTTATACTCGGCGTGCTCTATGTTGCATTATATATTACCAAAATTGAACGTTTTTCGAGTATTCAAATCTTCCAAGTCTTTGAGTATGAACTACAAGAATACTGTCTTATCTGCTGCAAAGCAACATGGTCATAGTTACAGTTCTATGTAACAATACTTAAAGATAGAACAATGACTAATACACCTTTTTTCACACTGAATTGGCACAAAGCTATCATGTTTACAAATGCTCTCACACACTTCTGCACTTTCCTACAGCTGCCTTATATTTACCAGCAGGTCTTTCCCCCCTCTTGCTGTTGCAGGCTGAACTACCTCTTGGCGGGAGGCCTGCACCCTGTTGGTTTCCACGTGCTGAACATCATCCTCCACGCTATCATATCTGCCCTTATGATTGACGTGTTTGCTATACTGATTGGTGGTCTGTCGTATGACAAGAAGGGCAGCATACACAACCACGCACCCAAGACCTCTCTGCTCGCCGCCCTCCTCTTCGCCGCCCACCCGGTCCACACAGAAAGTGTAAGTAGAGTTTGAGTTCAAAAGTGTTTTATTTTCATTTCTATAAAGTACATCAAGCTCGGCTCCCACAGTGCAACAGGATGCACTGTATTGTTTGTACACAGAACAGTAGATGCAATGCTGTCAGTTAGTGCTGGGCGGTATACCGGTTCATCCGGTATACCGGTTTTAATTTCCCGTATGATATAAATTTTTCACACACCGCCATACCGGTGCACAGTTGAAACAACTGCTGTAACTCTTCAACAGGCAGCAGAATATATTGTTCGCCGCTAAAGGCGCTGCGGTCGGAGCTAGTTGTCTTAAGTGTATTGACAGGGACCCCTAATCATGGTTATAACTTTCTAACACAACAATTAACAACCCACAACTAACGCTCTTTAACAGGGCAAAACACCACGACACAACAGTTTGTGACACATAAACAATTTGTAACAATAATAATTGTACATTTATAAAATTACACCGCCAAACGGCATGCTGGGTACAGCTCGCTAGCTAGCCCGCTAGCACAACAGTCTGCTAACAGCTGGGAGAGGCTCCGTCGCTACAGTAACGCTACATTAAAGAACAGAAAGGAGCGATGCAGGATGAACAAAGACAGACCGGAGATGCACCGATAGTCTGTGCCCAAGAGAGGAGCTGTGTCTGCTGTTTGGAAGTGTTTAAAAAAATCCGACATAGACCAAAAGACTATATATTGCAAAGTTTGTCGAGCCACTGTTGTTGACGCTGACGTTGTACGTCTTACCGGGGCGAAAATACTTCAGCCAAACTGCTATCCCAACATCATACGAACAAACGAGCACACCCTATAGTAAGCAAAGCCTTTATGCATGATGACATTAACATGTTTTTATATTCTATTTACTTCTGACAGTAGCGTAAGCCGTTATAAACCCATATAAAAACACAGTGAAACTGCCAGAATCTTAAAAAATACCGTGATGCAAATTTTTGGTCATACCGCCCAACACTACTGTCGGTAGAGAATAACATGCTGCAACTCCACAGCACTAAACCATACATAGAGCTACAAATAGAGTTATTGGTATGGTGTGCATACTGATTCACGGTTTGTTTTCTGTTGTTGGGATGCATTGTTAGAAAGAATAGTGCCAGACTTTAGAGTGGGTGACACATACACCAGAGCTGTTTTTGTCAGTTTGCATAACAGCAAATGCACGCTCCAAACCGTGTTGTGTTCTGAAAAGTCCTCAGACAACCAACCAAATCACATAATGGTGTCTAAAAAATAATGCTGCAAGAAAACACTGATCACCAAATACAGTAAAAAGAAAAACAAACCTTATTTTTTAACACAGTACATCGGATCATTAGTTTCACAGCAGCAGTTGTTTGGGGTGATAAGCTCAGTGTGTGTGGTGAACAGGGTTCCTATTTATACTTTAAATTATTCTAAAAAAATAAGACCTTAACTATTATTTAAAAGTCTTAAAAATGTGAGGACAAGCAAATTAGGACTTAATTCATCTTTTTCTTTCTGACATTGCAATTTAAAACTGTAAAATAATTATTAGCATCTCTTTTTTTTTTTTTTTTTTTTTTTTGGATTATTTACAAAATGCCTGATGCAGATCAGGATAGCGGAACCAACAACACTGGTCTGCTAGCTAGCAAGGACATGAAAGTGCACATTTTAATGACTATGATTTTAAATTGACTATTCAACCAAGATTCTGCAGTATGGCGGTACCAGCCGCTGTATAAAAGGTGCAGTGTATTTTGTGCAGGAAGTGCTTCAAAGTCGGCACGTTGGGAATGAAAGCAGTGGAATCCCACATTCAGAGTGAGAAACGCAAAACTGCAAAGTCAACCCGCAAACGGGCGGTTCAGTTCAGTTATTGTAAAGTTGGTCTTAAAGAAAGTCTTTCAAAGTCGTAAATCTAACTTGCCTTAAGCTGAAGGAACCCTGGGTGGAAGATAGAACTTGGATAGTTTTGGGTAGTAATCCGTTCTCTTTATGTGGTTCAGTATGACAAAACTTCACATTGTCCAATATGACACTGTAATATTCTGTAAGTGTGCAACTGTTGAACCTTAATAGAGTTCCCCTACACATACTCGCACATTTCTTTGTCTCAGAGGTGCATTTTCTACTTTTGCTGCTTTCATTTTTTTTGACTCAGTAAGTGACAAACCTGAAGCGTTAGCTTGGAACTTCATCTAGATCATGAAGTCGGCAGTTTTGTACCTTTTGCACATCCACACACGGAATGAGACAACACAGCACAAACTAGGTCTCTCCTATCGGTAAAAGCAGAGGACTTCAGTGAAGTTTGCACTTGTTTTGTTAACGATGTCGTCTGTGATATTATGTGAATGCTTTTGAAGTTGTGATCGTTGCATTTGTAGTTTAAGACCACCGTTGGCCACACTGCATCTGAACACAAATTACTTTGACATTTTTCACTCGACTCTTATGTACAAGCAAAAGCAGCCTTTGCAATGTATTTAAACTCGTGACACATGATGACAATTTACATATTTGGATCGGCTTATTTTCCTTACATATGCAGCTGTTCCTCAGGGTTGTAAATTAGAAGTTTTATCAGGATACGATATCCATTCTTTGGACAATGATCCATATTTGCCGATATCACAGAGTCACGATTTTGATTCAATCAATATGAGATGATGTCAGAAGCCCATTTAACACAGTAAGTTACATTTCCATCAACTGACAACTAAAATAGCATTTGACAATTTTATTAGGTGTCCCATAGAGGTGCCATGGGAATTTCTAAATAAAGGTGTATCTTGAGGATGAAGATATGCACCGGGGTTTTCCCAACACATCGCTGATACCGATGTGTCGATCCAGATCAGTTCCCTAATCATGCCCGCTCCCGTTCTTGTTTTGAACTTGGGCCGGGTCATTAACAGGCACGTTACAGCCTCTCGAGACATTGTGCTGGTTGTGATTTTGTGCTACAAATAGACTTTTCTTTACAGCATGGATTCCCTGCAGCAGCACAACATGCCACCTTCACACACTAGTCCAGAGGCTTTAATACTAAACATGCAGTGGTTCCATGCCAAGAACAAAAGTCCGGTCTCAGCTGGGAGCGCGGGGCCGAGGTGTGTGCGGCTGCGCGGCCTGATGATTAGCTGCGTCGGGATGCTTATTGACCTGCTGGCGTATGTGTGTTTGCTGTAAAGCCCGGCTGGAAGGCAGCTATTCCCCCTGTCCGTTCTCTTTAATCATGCAGGTCAAGGACTGGGTGAGACCTGGGGGGGTGAGAGGCAGGCAGACTGTTGGCTTAGGCCCGCTGTATGTATCAAAGCAGGCAACCCCAGGATGCCAACCATGCTGTACCCACACACCATATACAACACACACACACAGGCGGTAATGCTGGTAATGAGAGATTTTTATGTTTTATCCTGTTAAGAATTTTGAAAAAATTTTGTATACAGTGGGAAGAAGAACTGTGTACACTAAAGAGTTGTTTTTTTGTAATAAAATTAAGCTGCATTTTACAGATAACAAAATGTATAATCTTTGGGAATCATGTAAGTAACTCCCACCTCAAGATAAATGAAGTGGAAGTATTTAATAATGGATCATGAATTATGCTGGAAACAACATATAAGATATATTATTATATAAAGTCAAATATCTTCTAAATCAAATTTTGTTATCCACCTTATAGTTTTCCTTTATAGTCCTGTATATAACTTACTGCGTTGGAAAGAGGGAATATACAGTGGTTACGGAAAGTATTCAGACCCCTTTAAATTTTTCACTCTTTGATTCATTGCAGCCATTTGCTAAAATCAAAAAAGTTAATTTTATTTCTTATTAATGTACACTCAGCACCCCATCTTGACAGAAAAAAACAAATGTAGAATTTTTTGCAAATTTATTAAAAAAGAAAAACTGAAATATCACATGGTTACAAGTATTCAGACCCTTTGCTCAGTATTGAGTAGAAGCACCCTTTTGAGCTAGTACAGCCATGAGTCTTCTTGGGAATGATGCAACAAGTTTTTCACACCTGGATTTGGGGATCCTCTGCCATTCTTCCTTGCAGATCCTCTCCAGTTCCGTCAGGTTGGATGGTGAACGTTGGTGGACAGCCATTTTCAGGTCTCTCCAGAGATGCTCAATTGGGTTTAGGTCAGGTCTCTGGCTGGGCCAGTCAAGAATGGTCACAGAGTTGTTCCGAAGCCACTCCTTTGTTATTTTAGCTGTGTGCTTAGGGTCATTGTCTTGTTGGAAGGTGAACCTTCGGCCCAGTCTGAGGTCCAGAGCACTCTGGAAGAGGTTTTCTTCCAGGATATCTCTGTACTTGGCCGCATTCATCTTTCCTTCAATTGCAACCAGTCGTCCTGTCCCTGCAGCTGAAAAACACCCCCATAGCATGATGCTGCCACCACCATGTTTCACTGTTGGGATTGTATTGGGCAGGTGATGAGCAGTGCCTGGTTTTCTCCACACATACCACTTAGAATTGACGCCAAAAAGTTCAATCTTGGTCTCATCAGACCAGAGAATCTTATTTCTCATAGTCTGGGAGTCCATGTGTTTTTTGGCAAACTCTATGCGGGCTTTCATATGTCTTGCACTGAGGAGAGGCTTCCGTCGGGCCACTCTGCCATAAAGCCCCGACTGGTGGAGGGCTGCAGTGATAGTTGACTTTGTGGAACTTTCTCCCATCTCCCTACTGCATCTCTGGAGCTCAGCCACAGTGATCTTTGGGTTCTTCTTTACCTCTCTCACCAAGGCTCTTCTTCCACGATTGCTCAGTTTGGCTGGACGGCCAGGTCTAGGAAGAGTTCTGGTCGTCCCAAACTTCTTCCATTTAAGGATTATGGAGGCCACTGTGCTCTTAGGAACCGTGAGTGCTGCAGAAATTCTTTTGTAACCTTGGCCAGATCTGTGCCTTGCCACAATTCTGTCTCTGAGCTCCTTGGGCAGTTCCTTCGACCTCATGATTCTCATTTGCTCTGACATGCACTGTGAGCTGTAAGGT